TCAGGTTTCCCAGACGGGCTGGACCTCATGGCAATAGCAAGCCTCATCATTCTCCTGCAGAGCTCCTGGTGGTTTTGCACTGCTGACCCTGCAATTGGCAGCCCAACACGAAACCCATTACTCCACTACCCACTGGCTAAGAGTGAACTCTGGAGGCCTACTTCTGCCACTTACTCACTGGGTAGCTGCAGGCAAGTTACTCTCCCCCTTACGTAAGTTAGGGATGATCTCATCGGCCAAGGCCTCACAGCATCCTCGCAGAGATGGAACCTGCCTGGACGTGTGAAGCACTTAGAACCCTGCCCAGTGCCTGTAGGCCGGCACGAAAGGGCCTTCGCAGAATTGTGGTATGGTCTCAGAATGAAGTTTGAGTAACTCAGTGAGCTCAACCCCCAACCCCAATTTAGAGCAAGTCTGCTGGTGCTTCATATGGCCACTGAGAAGTTAAATGCAGGTGATCCCCCATCTGTGGGGGATGAGACAAACCCAAACCAAACTCAGTGCCATTGAGCCCATTCCAACTCAGGGTGTCTCTACAGGGGACAGTGAACCGGCCCTCTGGGTTTCCGAGGTCGTAGATCTTTTCAGGAGCAGGAAGCCTCATTTTCCCCCTTGGAGCTGCTGGTGGGTTCAAACTGCTGAACTCGCTGTTCCCAGCCCAGTGCTAGAAACAATGAATTTCCACGTGACAATATGCTGACAGATTGAAATCTCTTAAGTTCTGTTTAACTGGACTCCCTTGGGAAATGAACGGCTCCAAAGTAATTAATCTATAATGGGTAAGAGGAAAAAAAAAAAAAAAAAAAAGGGTACAATGTAACCCAAGTTTTGAAGCATCATGTCATGCCTACCCCGACCTGGGGATTGCAAGCTCTCCCTCCCTTGGTGGCTCAGTTCCGCTACCACAGAGCAGAAGTCACCATTCAGAGCTGACAAAGCATCAGGGCCAAAGGATCTCACCCCAGGTGGAGACTCACTGTTTGCATGAAAAACTCCCTGATACCAACACTTAACACGAGCTTTATTCAATCTTTACACCAAAGCCAGTTGCCATGAGGTTGCACCCCATCCACCTCACTGTGCATGAGGTTAAACCTGCTCTCGGAAGCGGTCTGTGGCTGGGTTGAAAGGGGATCACGGGCTTTCTTCTGTCACCTCTGGATGACATCAAACCACTAACCTCTGCGAATTCAGCAGCCCAGCGCTTCCTCAGCGCACCACCCGGGGGCGCCGACTACACACAGGGAAATAAAACCCCAGTAACTACAGGATGGTCAAGCTTGCACAGTAAAACATCCCCTGCAGCTGCTCCCCTGCCACTCTTTGAAGGAAAGAATCAGGTTCCCCCGGACTGTGGCCAGGGTCTGACAGAGGAGGGTGGGTGTCGTGGTGGCTGTCCAAAGGCAAGAGGGCCATGCATACGACCGTCTTGCTGCAAAGACAAGAAACCATGCTTTATTTCACCAATACTAATGTCAATGGTGTTCTACTTCCTTTTCGGTTTTAGTCATGTTGTGGTATTTATATAATCATTTGTCAATTTGAGGACGAAGCGTGAAATGGTGGAGTCTAGTCTGTCAATCAAGATATAACCAAGGCATAGCCTTCTCCTGAGAATTCTGGGAAATCTGGTTGTCCTCCTTGGAGGCAGAAGACACTTCTCTCTTGACCCATGGAGACTCTACTGATAGGGCTGACTCCCTCCCGGGCATCCCTGAGAAGCCACATGGACTTACCCTGATGTAATCATCGGTACTGGAGAAGCCACAGGGAGACCCCAGCCAGCACTGAAATGCTTGCAACGCCCTGGATTCACAAGACTTCCCACCCACTGGCCTGTGATCGCCCTGCGTTTGGCATCATTGCATGGACCTCGTAAAGGACTTTATAGATTGCTATCAGCTATAGGGGCTCGGGCTAGGTTGGGATACTTTTTCTTTTTTTTTTTAATGTTCACCCATGTTTATTGTAGCACTATTCATAGTAGCAAACGGATGGAAACACCCTAAATGCCCATCAAGAAAGAATGGATAAATAGATTCTGATATGGAATGTAAATATGGAATACTGTACAATGCTAAAGAATAATAACAAATTTGTAAAACACTCCACAACCTGGATGGACTTGGAGGACTTTATGTTGATGGAAATTAGTTAATCACAAGGG